TAAGACATTTGGGAGTGAAAAAAAATTTTGTGATCATAATCAAATAACACTTATAACCAAGTTCAAGATCACATTATGATAAGTTGACATGAGGATTGAATTGTATAATAACTATGATCATGAAAGATAATAATGGATTAATTAATCCTCCTAGAGAATTAGGTTGTCATGATGCCTTTCTAGAGGCCAATCTTGATTTATTATCAAGAAATACAAGAGGAGTCTTTTATTTTTGATACATTATCAACATATCTAGGAGCCTATTAAGTCATACACATATGTTTAAACATTCACATGATTAAAGAGAAGCAAAGATATTGAAAAATATTTTCAATTCTGAAAGTTTTCTATTTTGGAAAAGTTTTCAAAAAATGAAAATTTTCTAAAATGGAAAGTTTCCTTAAATGGAAGTTTCCTAAAATGAAAAGTTTTCTATTTTAGAAATTAGTTTCCTAATTTGAAAGTTGGTTCCACATTTGGAAGTAAGTAACCTAAAATGGAAATAAGTTTTCTAATTTAGGTTAAAGGATATTTTGAAAAATTACTTCATAATGTAGGTCACCTAAAATTATCTAAGATTATTTAATTGGATAGTCTAAATAAATTAATTAGGCCGAATGGTTTTGGCCCAATAAGTTTAATTAAAAAGCCTTAAGATTTTTTGATGAGAGGATAAATATCAACCTTATTAGATAAGGATGAATGTTTAAAAGATAAAAATCAAAAGTCCATATGTAAAATAACTCCTAATCCTTAGACGATTAGGAAGCAACAACCATAACTCCATCGGGACTTATTTACCGCATCTCTCCTTATCGTTGGGGGATAAGGAAACTCTTCCCCTATAAATAGGAGGAAAGGTGCGGCAAAAAGAGAGAATTTAGCCAACCAAAGAAAAGAAAAAAAAAAAGGCTAAAGGCACATGGTTAAGAAAGAAAGAAAAGGAAAAATAGTTTTTTCCAAGAACGCTAGCACGCCACCCTCTCTCCTTCTTCTCTTAGGTTATCACAAAATTACTCGGATTAGATTTTTATAGGAAACACTACATAAATAAAATAAAAAAATAGAGCTAGCACTTTATCAATTTTGAGTGCTTCTTTATATGTATTTGAATCTGCGTGGATTATCAATAAAGGTCGAACACTTGGATGGTTTTCTGCTAAAGAATTTGGATCTATACTATAAGAGGTAATTCTCTACACACTTGCTTTAATTTATATATATATATATATATATAGTTAGTTAGTTAGTTGATTGAATGGCATGATCTTGGGCCTTTTAGATGAAGGAAATTTTTTAATTTATTTCGCACTTCTATAGGATGTATGATCCTTTAGAAGGTCTCTATTTCATATTAATCTTATACTTATTTTATAAAATTCGATCTATTAGGAAGAGTTGGCGGAGATGATTTACCATCCCATTTTCATTGACAAGGCATTATTCACAACTATCAATTTTCGTAACCCAAAGCCCCCATGCTTCTTAAGTTGACGATTTCATCCCAAGAGATGAGATGAGTTTTTTTATGGTCGTTTAAACTACCCCAAACAAAATCTCTACAAAGCTATTCAATAGCCTTATTAGTCGATGTTGGGATATAAATAGTCTACATACTATAGATAGGAATGGCATCAAGCACTAATTACGATAGAGTTACTTTACTTGCAAGTGTTAATTTTTTAGCCTTCCAACCTCGATAACCTCTAACAAAATTTCTCCACTCCATGTTCATAAGTGTTCTTATTGACTCGGTTATGATAGAAGGACACCCCTAAATACATTCCTAAGTCATTTATTAGTTGAAACCCTAAACATTTGTTGAGAAATCTAGCTATCCCTCTTGATACATTTCGACTATAAAAAATTTGAGTCTTAGACTTGGGAAAGCCGATTTCTCAACAATTATAAAGAATAAATATAGGGAAAAGATCCATGATTTAAAGACTCTTTAGTAGTTAGATCAAGTCGGATCATAGGTCAATTCCGTTACAAATTAACAACAAACTTGTACCTTTCCCTAACCCTTGGAAGTTCAAGTTCCAAGTCGTATGGTTGAAAAAACCTAAATTTGAAAAAATTTGTTAAAGAGGCTTGGCATCCTATAGCGTCTTTTAGTGAAGCTAAGGAGAGGTTTATAGATGCATTCAAAATTTAGAATGTTGAATCCTTTGATAACATTTCTAAGAGTAAAAGACATCTCCCGGCTTAGTTAGCGAGGATAAATAGGCTTCTAGCAATAATCCTAACCCCTTTCTTATAGATTTGGAGAATCAATTACTTAGTGAATATGAAAATTTACTTCGAGAGAGGAGCTCTACTTGGTTTTAAAAGGCAAGGTGTGAGTGGTTGGCCTATAGGGATCAAATTACAAAATATTACCATGCTATGATGGTGGTTAATAGGAAGAAAACTAATATGGGTAGATTAAGGGATGATTAGGGCATTTGGTATAGTGACAATAACTAAATGTGCTCCCTCATTTTTTCAACTATAAAAAGCTATTTACAAAAGAGGATGTAACTCGCTAAGGAGTCTTTAAATCATGGATCTTTCCCCTGCATTTCATATGATCTCATACAATAGTTAGACATGCCAATTTCAGATTTGGATATAAGAGAAACATTGTTCGAGCATGCAGCACGTACAAGGCTCCCGGGTTGGATAGCATTTATGTAGCTTTCTACTAGTTATAGTGGCCTATTGTTGGGAAATCTTTTTGTAGGTATATCTAATAAATTTGCAAGCATGAAATTTGGGAACTTGGTCTATCTAAAGCTCGTTAGTCATGATCCCAAAAGTTGAGGTCCTTGAGATGGCCAATCAATTCTATCTAATAGGCTTGTGTAATGCATCTTACAAGGTGCTAGCAAAGGTCATATTAATAGACTAAAACTTATCCTTCCTTGTATCATTATTTCCACTCATGTCGGTATTGTTTTAGAAAGGAAAATTATAGATAACATCATTATCGCATAAGAAGTCATATTCCTTGAAAAAGAAGAAAGGGAAAAAAGGTTAGATGGCAATAAAAATGGATCTAGAAAAAGCTTATTATAGGCTTAGGTGGGAGTTTGTGTTGGACATATTACTAGATCCGCACTTGCCTTACCCTTTATGTTCTTTAATTATGAAATGTTTGTCCTTAGCTAAATTAGAAATTATTTTCAATGGGTTGACCACCGATGTTTTCAAACCAACCGGACGTATCCATTAGGAGGACCCGTTATCTCTTTATCCGATTATATTATGCATGGATAGATTGAGTCGTCTTATTCAAAAGGTTGTTTTAGATAAAAAAAATGGAGACCAATTTACTTAAGCAAAGGAGGACCACTTAATACACATTTATTCTTTATAGATAACTTGATTTTTTTAGCAGAAGGTAAAAGTGACCAATTGAATAGCATGCCGACGATTCTCAACTAATTTTGCTTAGCTTTAAGATAAATTTTTCTTGATAAATTGGCCATCTCGGGGACCTCAAATTTTGGGATTAAGACTAACAAAGCTTTAAATAGAGCAAGGTCCCAAATTTCATGCTTGAAAATTTGTTAGATGTACTTATACAAACATTTCCCAATAATATACCACTTGACTAGTAGAAAGTTACATGAATGCCATCCAACCTAAGAGCCTTGTATGGCTGCATGCTAAACAAGGTTTCTTTTATCTCCAAATATGAAATTGACATGTGCAACTATTGCATGAGATCATACAAAATACAGGGGAAATATCCATGATTTAAAAACTCCCTAGCGAGTTACATCCTTTTTAATAAATAGCTTCTTTCGGGAAAAAAATGAGGGAGCACATTTGGTTATTGTCACTATACCAAATGCCCCGATCATCCCTTAATCTACCCACTTTCATTTTCCTCCTCTTAACTATCATCATAGCATTGTAATATTTTATAATTCGATCCCTATAGGCCAACCACTCACATCTTGCCTTTCGAAACCAGCGAGCTCCTCTCTTAAAAGCAAATTTTTATATTCACCAAGTAATTGATTCTCCAAATGTATAAGAAAAGGGTTAGGATTATTGCCAAAAGCCTATTCTATCTTGGCTAACTAAGCTAGGAGATGTCTTTTAATCATAAAAATATTACCAAAAGATTCAAAATTTTAAATTTTGACAACATCCACAAACCTCTCCTTTGCTTCACCGAAAAACGCTACGGGATGCCAAGCCTCTTTAACAAATTTCCTAAATTTAGGTTTTGTCAACCAAACGACTTCAAAACCCGAACTTCCTAGGGTTGAGGGAAGGTAAATGTTTGTTCTTAAGTTGTAACGGAATTGTCCTATGATCCGACTTGATTTGTTGGTTATGGTGAACCCTTATATTAGGAAATTCTAATCGCCAATCCGTGTTGTATATAACTATATCAATACATTTTCAATAGCCCCTCTCTTCCAAATGTACATTGGTTCCGTGAAACCTAAATCTAATAGCTCATAATCATTCAAACAAGAACAAAAAGCATGATCGTTGTAATTATTGAAACCTCTCCCTCTTTTTTTCTTTTTTCTAAACATCATAGCATTGAAATCACCACCTATAATCTATGGTTCTATAATTTGATTAGCAAGGTTACTTAAATCCTTCCATAGTCCGGTTCGATGTGTCCAATTGGATTGGCATAAAAGGTTGATAGGAGAAAATGCATAAGATCTAATTCCACCCTAACATGCATAAATTGATTATTATTAACTAATACTTTAATGGAGACATCTCCATCATTCCACAAAAGCCAAATTCCACCTAAGAGACGTTGTGCTTCAATTCATTATGATCGAGGAAAGCCTAGCTTCTTAATCAATTTTTCCATCTAAATTTCACTAATTCTTGGTTCAAAAATTTCCAAAATATTAGATCTATGCAGCTTGATCAAATCCATATAGGTAGCTTGAAATAGCTAATGTCAAGATCCTTGACAGTTCTAAAACATAATATTCTTCATAAATATAGATATGGTATGAGAGACCAAGCTAGACTTATGGGAGAGGAGCACATGCATCCGCAATATGAATATCCTCATCTATAGCTAAAGAATCATAACAAATCCCATCCTCCTCAAAAGACCCTAAGATGGCTTGTTTTAGCTTTACATTCTTATTAGCTTGAAAAACTTTACGGAACATTTTTTATATAGGGATTGTAACTTTGATCAACTCTCGCTTCTTTTACTTGGTCGTAACCCTAAATCGAGTGGTTCTTCAATGACTCTTAGATTATTAGACTCACTTGATGTCCTTTCTAATTTATCTACAAAGGATTCCTCTACCTTTATGGTCACCCATAAATCCATAACCTCACCAATTTCTATAATACTAATATATGGGTTTTTGTTGTTATCCTCCTTAATTAAGATTGTAGCATGTCTCATTTCTCCTCTAGCATCCTTCTCCATTTCCTCTTTCTCCGAAATAGTCATAGTAACTACTTTGTCTTTAGTAAACTTTTGAGTAGCTGTATTATTGCTAGGTAAAGGGGCGAGTGGGATGGATAAGATGCCTACGTGATTTGCTACTTGGATGTATCGAAGGCTATGGGTTTGTGTTTGGGCTTCTCTAAATGAGCACGTAGTGAAGTGAAATAGGCTCGGCTTGGGTAAGATGATTGGGCCAAGTGGACTTGTTGTCCATTTTTACTAGCCAAGTGCCGGTCAAGATTTGTTTTTGAAATGCTACTTGATGGCCGGGTCATAGGCAATGGGTTTATGTTTAGACTTTTTCGAGTTTTCATGAGGTGACTCTGTTAGTATAGGTGCCTAAGATCCAACCTTGTTTGGATGAGTTTGACTTGTTATATTATTGTATTATTTATATTATTTATAATAAAAGAAGTCTTTCTATTCATTCTTGTCATTAGATTTATTCATTGAATAGAATTAGATAAAAATTCATATAATATGCATTTGAATTAGTGATTGACTAGAAGATGTAAGATAAATACTAACGCATACAAATGATATCATTAAATACCCAAGTCATAGCATGGTCAAGAATGGACATTGACTATATATGGTAAGATTTATGAGTGCTATGCTTATGTTATAAAATAGAAGTAAGAGATCTCACACCTATTAGCATGATGATGCCAAAACAAACACTTCGGTTACTTATGTAAGAAAACATGTCACTAGAATTGACTCACCATGAGAACCCATTTGGTATAACTTATGGGAATCTCATACGAGGTGGGTACAATTGGTCCTTAGACTTGAATTCATTATGGTTATCTCATTAGAGGATTTATATACTTTGACACTCATTTTGATGGACCCGGTAAAGGGTTACATGTGGATGATTTATTGGGTATACTAGAATCCAATTGAAGTAGATGAATGACTAAAATAGGACATGTCATTCCTTGTATGCTAATAGAGTTATCACATTGCACTTCAATGAATGTCTACTCAAGAAATCTATGACTACGGTAGGAGTACACTAATAAAGCATAGTTGGTTTACTCCAAAAGCTAAGAGATTTAGTAAAAAATTATGTGATCATGATCGAACATGACTAATAACCAAGTTCGAGGTTACATTATGATAAGTTGCCATAAAGACTAGATTGTATGGTAACCATGCTCGTAAAAGGTAATTATGAATTAATTAATCCTCTAATAGAATTGGGTAGTCACGATGCCTTACCCGAGGCCAATCTTGATTTATTCTTGATATATTGCCAATATATCTTGAAGCCTATTGAGTTGCATGCATAAGTTTAAGCATTCACATGATTAAAGAGAAGTAAAGATGTTGAAAAAAGTTTCCAATCTTGAAAGTTTCTAATTTGGAAAAATTTTCTAAAAATGAAAAGTTTTATAAAGTGAAAAGTTTCCAAAAATGGAAATTTTTTTATTTTATAAATTAGTTTCCTAATGTGGAAGTTAGTTCTAAAATTGGAAGTAAATAATCTAAAATGGAAATTAGGTTCCTAATTTAGGTTTAAGAGTAATTTGAAAAATTATTTCTTAATATGGGCCTTCTAAAATTATCTAACTTAATTTATTTGTATAGCCCAAATTTCTTGATTGGGCCAAAATAGTTTTAGGCCGGTAGGTTTAATTAAAAATCTAAACAATATTTTGGTGAGAGCATAAATATGAACCTTATTGGATAAAGATGAATGTTTTAAAAATAAGATCAAAAAGTCCATATGTAAAATGACTCCTAATCCTTGAAGGATTAGGAAGTAACAACCTTAAGTTCTTTATGCACTCATTGTCACCCTTCCTTGTCCTTGGAGAATAAGGAAGCCTCTCTCCTATATATATGGGAGAGAGGTACAGCAAAAGATAAGGTTTTTTTGAAGAAAGAAAAAATTTGGTACGAAGAAAAAAATGAAGAAGGCACACGACATCAAGTCAAAAAAGGAAACAATAGTTTTCTCCAATAAAATCATGACCTTGGTCCCTTTAAATTGAGAAAATTTTGATTTTATTCCGCACCTCTATAGGATGCATGATCCTTTAATCGGTAATAGAGCCTCCATTAAATCTTTCATTGGATGATTGTTAATTATGAATAACTACATGAATTAGATATTTATGGTTATAGATCTTATGTTTTTTTATATTATATATGAATTTAAAATTAAAATTTAGGTTAATATTTATTAGGGGTGCATGAGGTCGAAGTTAGACATTAACACTAACGAGCAAGAACACCATTAGCGCGCGAGAGCCACGGTTGCTCGTGTCCTAGATGCTCCATTATTACACGGTCACAAACTAATAAAGTAAAAGTTGAGAAGAATGAGGTCGGATATTCTAATTCAAGTAAAAAAAGTCATCAAGTAATTTGAGGTAGGATTTTTGAAGTGTTAGTGTTGGTGCCCAAGATCCAACCATGTTTTGATGGGCTCATATTAATGTATTATTGCATTATTTATTTTAATAATAATAAAGAAGTCATTCTATTAATTCTTAAATTTACATGTTGATAAATTCGGTGGAATTAGATAGAAGTCCTTATGATATGCATTTGCAATAGTGATTGATCGAAAAAAGTAAGATAAACATTAATGCATATAAATGATATCATTAAACATCCCAAGTCGTAGCATTATCAAAAATGGACATTGATAATATGCATATAGACTTATGAGTGCTATGCTCATGCTATATGATAGGAGTAGGAGATCTCACACCTATTGGCATGGTGATGCTAAACCAAGCATTTAGGTGATTTATGTTAGAGAACATATCATTGAACTTTACTCACCATGAGAACCCATTTAGTTTTTGTCTATAGGAATCTTATACCGGATGAGTACAAATTGTCCTTAGACTTGAAATTATTATGGTTATCTCATTGGAGGACTTATGCATTTTGACACTTATTTCGATCGACCCATTAATGGGCGATTCATTAGGTACATTAGGAATCCAATAGAGTTAGGTGTATAACTAAGATAGGACATGTCATTCCTTGTATGCTAAAGGAGTTATCACATTGCACTTTGATAAATGTATGATCAAGAAATGCTGTGGCCATAGTATGAGTACACTAATAGAGGATAGTTGGTTCACTTTAAGAGTTAGGATATTTGGGAATCGAAGAAAACTTATGTGATTATAATCGAGCAAAACCAATAACAAAGTTCAAGATCACACTATGATAAGTCGACATAAGGGTTGAATTGTATGGTAATCATGCTCGTGAAAGGTAATAATAGATTAACTAATCTTTCTAAAGAATTGGGTAGTCATGATGCTTTGCTACGGGCCAATCTTAATTTATGTATCAAGAGATAAAAAGGAGTCTTTTGTTCTTGATATATTTTCAACATATTTAGGAGCCTATTGAGTCACACGTATAGGTTTAGGTATTCAAATTATATATGAGAAGCAAAAATATTGAAAATTTTCAAGTATAGAAGTTTCCTATTTTGTAAAGGGTTTCCAAAATAAAAAGTTTCCTTAATTAGGTTTCCAAAAATGGAAAGTTTTCTATTTTAGAAATTGGTTTCCTAATTTGGAAGTTAGTTTCAAATTTGGGAATAAAGAACCTAAAAGGAAAGGAGTTTTCTAATTTAGGTTAAAAGGGCATTTTGAAAAATTGTATCCTATTGTGGACCTCATCAAAATAATCTAAGAATATTTATTTGGATAGTCCAAAAAAATTAAGCGAGCTAAAATAGTTTTGACCTATTAGGTTTAATTATAAGCCTTAAGATATTTTGGTTGGAAGGATAAACATCAACCTTATTGGATAAGTTTGAATTTTTAAAGATAAACATCAACATTATTGGATAAAGTTGAGTGTTTTAAAAATAATGATAAAAAAATCCACATACAAAATAACTCTTTATCCTTAGAGGATAAGAAAGCAACAACCTAGAGTCTTTTATGGACTCATTGCCGCCCCTCTCCTTTCCTTGAAGGGTAAGGAAACTCTCCTATAAATATATAAGAGGAGAGATAAAATTCAAAAAAACACAAGGATTGTAAAGAGAGAGAGTTTTGGCAAGCCCTAAAAATAATAGAGAGCATATGACAAAGAGAGAGAATTGAGAAAATAGTTTTCTCCTAAACCCTATTAAGCTATACTCTTTTATTCTCCTTTAAGGTTGTCATAAAATTGCTCAAGATTGATTCCTATAGGAAATACTAAATCAAAAAAGGTAGAGCTAGCACTCCCATTGATTTTGAGTGCTTCTTTATGGATATTTGGACTACGTGGGTCATCAATAGAGGTTGGACATTTGGACGAGTTTTTCTAAAAAAAGAAATTTAGATCTACACTATAAGAGTTAATTTTTTACTAATATCTTAATATTTATATATGTATGGTTAGTAGATTCAAAGGCTTGATATTGGGTCCTTAGATGGAGGAAATGTTTTTTTGTTTGTTCCGCACCTCCATAGGATGTATGATCCTTCGATTGGTATTAGAGCTTAGTTGAATCTTTGATTGTATGCTAGGTTGATTATGATTAACTACATGAATTAGCTATACCTAATTATAAATCTTTTTTTCTAGTATTTTATATTAAAATAAAATTAAAATTTGGGTAAAAATTAGTAAGGGCACACGAGGTCGATGTTGGATCGACGCTCGTATGCGTGGCGACCCTACTCGATCGTCATACACTAGGCATGAAAGCCAAGCTACTTGCTAGGCCATGGGCTAGGGGCACGAGCCGGATAGAGTGGCGGGGTGTGTGATAGGCACGGCGTGCTAGCTAGCGCATGCCATGTGTGTTAGCTCGCTAAACTACACGCCGCCCATACGACGGACCACCGGTCGGGTGCTTTTGCATTAGAGTCGGTGGTCGCGAGAAAATGAGTGTTAACATGCAAACTCGAGGGTTTAGGCTTCGAAGCCCGTGAACCCTCAATGCCTAAAAGCCTATGAGTCCAAAGTGGACCCAAAGGTTCAAAAAAGTTCTAAAATTGAAA